CAAAGCTGCCTGCCTACCAGCATGCAGGAGAGGAAGTAGGGAAGGTTACAGTGAGTGATACTATGCAAACTATATCCTACAGGATGTCAATTCTTTGGTTGTAGAGGGAACAGCATATTGATCACCCCCCCTTCCCGTGTCTGGCGTGTTAGAAGATTGATCATGAGCAATGTATTTATAGGGGATCACAGAAGGATAATCTCAGACAGAGAGAAGGGGGCTCCTAAGACGTGAAACATGTTGGGTAGTTCTATGAATAACTCGGCAAATAGAGACACAATTGTTCCTGTAGTTTATTGTGTATGTTGTTATTCTGATTGAAGGTTTTGTCCTCCATGCAGGACCTGTGCGGAGCCTCGACGTGCGACACGCTGGGCATGGCGGATGTGGGCACCATGTGCGACCCGAAACGCAGCTGCTCAGTGATCGAGGACGACGGTCTGCCATCCGCCTTCACCACGGCGCATGAGCTGGGTGAGTCTTCCCTCCGAGATGTCCATGTGCACTCCCACAAACACCTGTTGATCCTGCCAGTAAAGTCCACCTAAAGCAGCTTCCTGTGATGCAGTGACAACAATGCTTCACTGCTCCTGATTTAGAGCAGAGTTGTCACCCTCTGTGTCTCTTTGTACTACAGTGGGAGGAGAAGATGATGCAGTGGGTGTGGCTATAAGCATTGTCACTATCGACTCACAAGCTAAGCCACACCCACTGCTTTCTGGATTGACAGCACTGGAACCTCCCACTCTGAGCTGCAGTGTGTGGGAGGGGGAGTGCGTGAGACACAAATGAAGGGGGATTTGGCTCAGGAGAGGTTTGTACGTCGCATAGTCACTGGATCTGGGACTTGTTTAGACTCATTGAGGAGCCTTAAGAGTCACTTCCTGCAAAAAACAAAATGATGTAACAATGGCAGAGTGGGCGAGTAGAGAGTCACCATCGGTGTGACCATCCGCCCGGAACCTCGGGGTGCCGACCAAAGAGCTCAACTACGCTCTATGAACGGAATCCTGATCTCCTGCAGCCACTTTGCAGCCACTTCATGTCTACATGTACTCCGGAAATGGCTGCATGGCATTTCCCAGAGTGGGTTTTTCTGATGGTGACAACCGTGGACCCTGTCTGAGTCGGGTGTTGTAGTCACCATTGGAATCCCATGTTACAGGGTGACAATGCAAGAGAACTATTGGGAGACAAGGACATAGCGTTGTCACCCTATAATAGGAAGTGCCTGAACAAGGACAGAGTGTGGTCACTCTATAACAGGAAGTGTCTGAACAGGGACAGAGCATTGTCACCCTATAACAGGAAGTGTCTGAAAAAGGACAGAGCGTTGTCACCCTATAACAGGAAGTGGCTGAACAAGGACCTAGCGTTGTCACTCTATAACAGGAAGTGTCTGAACAAGGACCTAGCGTTGTCACTCTATAACAGGAAGTGTCTGAACAAGGACCTAGCGTTGTCACTCTATAACAGGAAGTGTCTGAACAAGGACAGAGCGTTGTCACCCTATAACAGGAAGTGCCTGAACAAGGACCTAGCGTTGTCACCCTATAACAGGAAGTGCCTGAACAAGGACCTAGCGTTGTCACTCTATAACAGGAAGTGCCTGAACAAGGACCTAGCGTTGTCACTCTATAACAGGAAGTGCCTGAACCCCATGGTGGGATTATATTAATGAAAGCTGCATTGAACGTGACTTTAGAAATGACATGTTGAGGATTTTCGGGGTCCCATGAAATCATGAGTCCGGTGACCGCTTTACAGACACATGGTCCCTTCATGGACTATTTGGGGACCTCCTACAGTCGGATATATTGGGCACTATTCCCAGACTTCCATCCGGAGTCATTGCGGTCAGAGTTTGGCTGTGGCACAGAATCCAGAAATACCGCGAAGTCTCCGCAATGACTCCGCCAATGGCGGCATGGCCGGCAATACCCAAAGCC